CAGAAACAATAATTCAGTTTCGGGGTTGCCACATATTTAAGCCAAGGATAAAAATGCAAGCACCAAATATGTAATTGGGTACAATACCTACTCCTGCTGATCTCTGTACTCATAGGTATATGCAAGTTGCTCCTGGATTATGGAAAATTCCTCCAATTGAGATTTGTTAGTTTGGGAGTCACAATATCTCTTCCCACTGGAAAGCCATATTGGAAAATTGTTTGCAGTTTAGTGTAGTAACTAACTTCGGGCCAAATCCTGAACCCTGTTTGCAATAATAATGGGAACAGAAGCTCCTTAATGTCATGTATGCTGAGTCTGTGCTTGCCCAACCAATAAAGGAAATGTTTTATGACAGGAGCAGATTGGTATATGTGGCCTTCATAGCTGCTTCACCAGAGAAACCCATCTATCTTGATTGCCTTGTGGAAGAGAAACTTGAGCATTGTCTACATGTGGAATTAGCTCCTATTTAAGTCCTCAGTGTAGCTGCACCAGCACAAATTCCCGTGCATACAAGGAAAGCAGCAATTTGCACTGGTGGAGCTGACCTCTGCTTGAAACCAGAGTGAGTTCCACCAGTGCAAATTGCAGCTTTCCTCATGTATGCTAGGGATTTGGGCTACAGCAGCTACACCAATGGCTGAAATTAGGCTAATTTTAAGTGTAGAGCACACCTTTGTTTGGATGAGCACAGACACGTTGCTATATAGATGTTCAAACATGTAGCCCCTTTGAAGTTTTCTACAGCTGCCTGTAGCCTTCATGCCCTCTGTGTAGTCATGGCGTCACTGTGTCTGTGCATTGTCATCGGTGGGTTGGGTAGAGTGCAACTCCTTCCTATGGGTAGGAACGAGGGAGTTTGAGCAGCTTGCCTCTAAGTCCCCTGTTTCTACCCCACCTTCAGAAAGTGCAGAAATGTATATTGTTGCAAAGCACAGCCAGGCTGACGAGTCCCTGCCAGGCCCTGAGCTGTGAACTCTGTAGGACATGGATTTGGGGCCCAAATCAATATAAACACTATGAGCCTGAGTCATTTTGTTACTCCAGTTTTTACATTGGTGGAGCTTCAGTGAAATTACATCAGCATAAAACTGGAGTAGTGCAGTAGTGAGTCAGATCTTAGTTCTGTATAGTTCCTCAACATGATTTTGAGGACTCCCTGTCCTACAGTGATCGAGCTAAAGAAAACTGGTGCTATTTTGCCTATGCTCCAGTATCAGAGCTACAATTTTTGTGATGCATAGTTGGGATTCCTATCATCTTAGGTGTTTCCATTTGCTTTTTACAATAATGTGTGTTATTTCTACCATTGATTTGATTATCTGTCAATTCTGGGCAGGTTGATGGTTTTTTATATTTAATTTCTGAATAAAAGTATAAATCATAAAACAACCAAGTAGACATCTGCAGAACCACCAAACAATCTCCCTCTTGTAATTGCGTCCTTGTCCCCTACCTAGAATTTCCGATATCTCTCCACCTATTCTTCCTTGTCAGGTCTAGTTACATTTGTCTGCTAATAGAGGCATATTTCTAGCCATTGCTCTTAGCCTAACTTTCATGAAAAGCAAAGTTCAATAGGATTCCACTTTTTTAAGAGAGACTTACAAGTCTACTTCACTAATAGAATCCCTGTTCAAGATCTTGTAATTTTAAAGCATGTGTTGAGTAGTATACAACAGAGTTTAGAACAGTAGTAGCTATAATGGGATGTTAGTACAGTAGGACCTCAGAGTTATGAACACCTCGGGAATGGCGGTTGTTGACCATCTGACCAGAATGTTATGGTGATTCTCTCAAAAGTTTACAACTGAACATTGACTTAATATAGCTTTGAAACTTTACTATACAGAAGAAAAATGCTGCTTTCTTATTTTTTTAGTAGTTTAACACAGCACTGTACTGTATTTGCTGCCTTTTGGGGGGGGGGGGGTGTCTCTGCTGCTGCCTGATTGTGTATTTCCCATTCCAAATGAGGTGTGTGGTTGACTGGTCAGTTTGTAACTCTGGTGTTCCTAACTCTGAGGTTCTACTGTATTTAATTATGAGTTGAGTTGAGCTAGTCAAAATGTATTTGGTTTAGAAGTTTAATTGGGCAGGGCTCTCAAAGCCTGTATATATGTGGTTTTTATTGTCTATATTTAAGCAAGACAAACAGAATGGTGGGTGGTTCAAGTAGCGAGTGCTTCACAGGATAGCATAGTCCTCATTTTTTTTATTTAATGAGAAGGAGGATGCTTGTCACCTGTTACACATGAGATGTGTGCCAGGTACAAAGGTGGCGTGACACATGACACTGGGCTGGTGGTGAGCAAAGGAGATGAGGGAAGTGGTCAGGAATGAATCTTGATCAAAGTGCTGCGAGAGAAGCATAATCTTGGGAGTGGTATTTTGGAAGACCAATAAGTACTTTTTTCTGTATTTAAATGATTCACGTTCTTGCTTGCTTTCTCAGTTTTGTTTTACCCACATTATTGTTTTCAGGCAGGTGCCAGTGTCCGTGTGGTAAACCAGTTGCTAACAGAGATGGATGGTCTGGAAAATCGTCAGCAGGTTTTCATTATGGCGGCTACCAACAGGCCAGGTGAGAAATAACAAACAAACAACAAACAAGCTTGCTATTTTTTCCACAAAGGGTCTCTCAGGTTTAAAAAAATATCTTTCAGAAACAAGTACTAATACTTGTGTTACTAACACCACCTTAGCTTACTACACCTGAAACAATTTTCAATATCTAACTCTTCACCATTTATGTTTACTACTTATGTTTCTCTCTGCTTGAACAATGAAGAGTCATTTTCTGGTTCTCATTTACTAACAAAATGATACAAGGTATGGGTTGCAAACACCGCAGGAGATGTGAACTCAAACACTGTTTCATTGAGAAGACAAGAAAACATTTCTACATTTAAGGTTGTTTTAAAACCATAATTTATATATTCTAATTTAAGGCTTAATTGACTGTGACACTTAAAGCAGGTATGTTGTCTTGCTTGTATTTTTTGTTTGCATTTTTTAATATTCCGATGAGGTCAGGTGACTTTCAACTAACCTTTTTGTGTACATAAAAGCACAGTGGTTGTTCAGAATAAGACCCTGGCATAGACCAAGTTTCATGGAGACATCAGTCTATTCCAAGTTATCACGACTGACAGGATGTAAAATGAAGTTAACTTGTTCAGATATAAAGCTCTCTCAGTTGGTTCCTGATCCAGAGCTTATTGAGGTCAATGGAAAAATTGCCATTAACTTCAGTGGGCTTTGAATTAGGTCCTTGGAATTTAGAAAATACGATTAGAAATAGTGCACACAGTGCATGCTCCTTTCTGCTTGCTTTGTTTACCACTCATCTGTGTAGTTTAAGTTTATGGCTTTGTATATTTTATACCAGTTTTTCCATATACCATCTCATCTATCTCCTCTCTCCACTCCATAACCTTCCTTCTCTCCCCTCTTCACACACTCCCCGCTCCCGAAAAAACCATATTCTCAAGAACTCTAGCACGTCCTGTTTTTTCAGTTGCCTTCCTCTCATCCTGGTCATGTTTCTGGCCACTCTGTCCCCATTGTATGTTTGACTCCTGAAATCTTGGGGTATGTCTACACAGCAAGCAGAAACCTGTGGTAACAAGTCTCAGAGCTTGGGTCTACAGACTTGGGCTCGCGCTGCAGTGTTTAAAAATAGCTGTGTAGACATTTGGGTTGAAGCCTCAGCAGGGGTGAAAGTAACTCAAAGGGCTTACCGGTACGCCGGAGTCCTGAGTGGGGGGGCATGGCCTCAACTGGAAGAGGTGTGGCCTCAACCAGAAGAGATGAGGCCTTTCATGATTAAAAGGGCCAGAGGCTCCGGCCACTGTGGGGAGCTCCGGGCCCTTTAAATCCCCGCCCGAGCCCATCTGCCGGAGCTCCGGCGGTGATTTAAAGGGCTCGGGGCTCCCCGCAGCGGCTGGAGCCCTGGGCCCTTTAAATCACCGCCGGAGAAGCTGGTTCAGTCCGGTACGGTGTACTGGACTGGACCGGCTTACTTTCACCTCTGAGCCTCAGGTTCTGAAGCCTAGTGCCCTAGGCTCAGCCCAAGCCCAAACATTGACACAGCTATCTTCAGTGCCACAGTGTAAGCTCAAGTCTGTAGACCTGAGCTCTGAGACTTGCTGCCATGGGTTTCTGCTTGCTGTGTAGATGTACTCTGGGTGACTTTCATATATGCTAGCAACAGCTTCTCCACTTAATACACACACAACTGTCTTTTTGTTTAACATAACGCTTCTTAAAACTCACTCATTATATTATTTGTGTAATAGAATCGCTTATGGACCAAACTGAGGCCTGGGTCCCATGCTACTATGCATTGTACAATCCAAGTAAGAGGCATTCCTTGTCCTGGAGAATTTTCAATCTCAATGGATAAGGCAGAGTGGATACAAAGAGAGAGAACTTAGAATGAACAATATGAAGGTCTGCAAATGCTGTGTTAGTTCTGCAGTTTTTTTGGTGTTTGTGGTTTTTAATTTGGGTGTGGTTTTGTTAAGAAAGAATTAGATAAACAGAGACAAAGGAAGGGAGAGGGGACATTGAAGAGAGGGGGATAAGGTAGCTAGGGAGAAGGGGACCATGCAAGGCATAATGAGAGAGGCTGAAGTAAAGAGACAGGGAGGGTGGGAAATGGAGTGAAAACCAGTCAAGGTAGGGGAAAGAATATCCAGAATAAAACCTGAAAAAAGCAGTCTGATCTCATCAGTGCCCTAGGATCCCTTCTGCAACTGCTTGTCTCTGCTCCTGCCAACTGAGTTTCTGGTATCTCTTTTCTGAACTCATGGCTGGGTGGAGGGATGGAGCAGCATGGACCCTGGTGTCCCCAAAGTGAGGCTTTTCCATGAATGATTCTGAGTCTGAGGGGGCTTGAAGGAGGGGTAATTCCAGAGGGGTCTCACAGCCATACAAAAGGGGCAGGGGCAGGTATCTCTTGAAACTACATGTCTCTGCTCTAGTTACAATTGTAATCCTCAGTTGGCACTATGTTTTATTATGCTGTTGAAAACTTTTGAGCAAGTACTTCTTATGAGACAATGGGGGGCATTCCACCACTATCACACCTTATATCTATTAAACGAACTTCCTGTAACTGTCAAAGCACACTTTAAATTTTCGGTTTTTGTTTGGTAAATTGTCAAATGTCCAGACTTAAAGAACAGGCATATCATCTGCCTGTGCCCCTACAATGTTAACCCCACCAAACAGAGAACTTCTTACTTGGTATAGGTTCAGTTCAGTACCACATACCTTTAGCACTAGATAAATAATATTGGAAATCTGTTGTTTGAAATGAAATGTGCAATCTGGATCCAAACAGGTTTTCTCACTCACTATGAACAGTCGCCCTCCAAATGTGAGTTGTGGGGTGAAGGTATTTTGGCAGTGTAAGTGCTGCTGTTCTGAAGAGCACAGGTTTGCATTTCTTCCTGCTGAAGAGTACAAATACTTCTCCTGTTCTGCTTTAATGGCTTGTTCCAGGTCATATTCATGTTCCCCATAGGCTTGACTGCCTTCACTACTCCTTTGTCTAACTGAAGTGATTTATCGGCTGTTACCTGCATGCAGTGCATCCACTGGGCTCCAAGGCAGGTCTGTACTTGGAATTGCTCCTGGAAACAAGCAGTACTTCCTGAGTATACCTAATGTGCTCCAAGCAAAGGCTATTAGAAAAGTGCACTCTGTGACTTGGGTACATTATTTGCAGTTACAAAAGGGAACTTATGTCTTGGGGGCACATAATAACTTTTTTCCCCTAGCGCCAGATCTCCAGGAAACTGTTTAAATTGCATAGAGGCTGTTACCTCATTGTGCCCATTGATGATAATAGGAGACCTTGAGCACTGGATCAGCCCTTTAATTCCCTTGCAATGCATACATAGAACACTGAATAAAAAACACGGCAGGATATAATTGCACAGTGTAAAATACTCAGTTTATAAATGATCACTTAAAGATAATGACCAGCTAATATTTTGGGTGCAGAAAGAAACACATGAAGATATTAGACTTCTTGGATGTGTTACAGCTGAAAAAAAATAAAATTGATAGATTAAGACATCTTGGCAGAATTCACAAATCTATTATTATATGTACAGAACCTTGAAATTAGTGTTTGTGCCCAAAGCAAGTATTTAATAATGAGTACTTAGGAAAATTGAGATCTCTAGCTCATCAGGCTTCATGGATGAATGTGTTACGTGGCATAAGACCCATTTATTTAAAGTGTATTTGGTGAAAAGATCTGGAATTCATGTGAGAATTGAACCAAACAAAGAAAATGAGCTAACATAGTTACTTAGGATGTGATCCTTAAACTGATGCAGTTCAAAATGTTTCATAGATTATTCTGGCTCTTGTGGAATTGAGAGAAACTCTGTTGGAATTGCTCAGAGAAAATAGACAACTATGAATACACCATTTGCGGTTGTTCAAGAATCCAAAAATTATAGCTTACTATCCTAATGGTAGAAAGATCACATAAAAAAATTTCCTGTCTCTTCAATTCCATGTATCATGGCAGACTATCATGCCTCCAGTATAGTAAAAGACAAATGGTTGCTACTCAGGCCTTGTTTACATACAGTTTGTTCTGCTTTAACTATTCTGGTATAGTTAAAGCAGTGCAACATCCTCTCCCCTTGTGTGGATGCGGTTTGCTGGTATAAAGGTTCTTTATCTTGATCTAGCTCCTCCCATATGCAAAAGTGAATAAGCTATGCAGATATAGATTACCTTTATACTCGTATAACAGCAACCACAGTAGAGATTGTACAGTATCGCCTCACTTAACGTTGTAGTTATGTTCCTGAAAAATGCGACTTTAAGTGAAACGATGTTAAGCGAATCCAGTTTCCCCTTAAGAATCAATGTAAATAGGGGGGTTAGGTCCAGGGAATTTTTTTTTTTTTTTTTAAGGCCAGACAAAAGGCATTGTATACGTTTTAAACAGTTTTAAACAAGCAATGTAATACTATGCTGGGGGGGGGAGGTAGTGTGCACGTGTTGTGTGTTTACCAACATACTGTACATACAGTACAGTACTATAGTTGGGAGGTGCCCCTGCCTTACCCTACACAGGCACAGCCCACTGGCATTGGAGATGAGGCAGGCAAAGAGGCTGAAGGTGCTGTAGGCTAGGAGAAGCACGTTGCGCAGCAGCTTCCCCTACTCTGCAAGCACCAGGGGCGAGGGGAGCGGGGGGGCGTTCAACCCTCAGCCCACCCACTCCCCGCCTTTTCCCCCATCCTTGACCTGCCTCTTCTCCCTCCCCACCTCCTCCCCCTTTACTTTCCACGCTGCGTCCTCACTCCTCCCCCCTCCTTCCCCTCCCTTCTAAACACTGCAAGCCAGCTGATTGCCGCTGGCAGGAGAGGGAGGGGGAGCCTGCACGCCAAGTCCTCGCTCCTCTCCCCCCTCCTGCCTGGAGCAATCAGCTGGCTTGCGGTGTTTAGGGGGCAGGGGGGAGGAGTGAGGACCCCGCACGCGCAGGTTCCTCCTCCCTCCCCCCTGCCTCCTGCCTGGAGCAATCAGCTGGCTTGTGGCATTCGGGAG